AAAGAGTCCACCATGCCTTTCATCGGAATACTGCAATGCAAATCTGACAAATCCAGGGCCTCATCACTTATTCCCCTGTATTCAGAAAATTCAAATTAAAAAGAAAACTACTATAATTAATATCCAAGAACATATAGCAATGCATTAACTAGAGGCAAAGCAAAAGCAGAATATATGATTAGCATTCTCAACATTATAGGCCAGCACAAAAAGAATGTACTAACGGATCTCACATTCCACAAGAGTATATAAAAGTGTGTATCACAATGAACAGGACTCCAACTAAATTTCTTTTTGAAAGAGCATTGTATCGAAGGCATAATTTTCTTAGTGTTATACTTGGTTGAATTTCTAAATTCACCCATTGGTGAAAAAGGAACTAATGTATATTTGATATTGATCAGATGGAAAACAAGTATATCAGCATTCCTAAACCCCAAAGTTTAGGGATATGTAAATAGTAAAAGGTATAAATACCTATTTTCATTTCCGACTACTATTGCTGTTGGGCATGACCAATCCATGTCATAAACAGACACCTTCAAAAATAAAATGCAAGGGTCAATCAGACACAAGCTTGAACTTTCAGGATGCAGAAGAGAACACAAAAATCAATCTACCACTTGTAATCAGAAAATATTTAAAAAAATTCAAATCTTTTTAGATTAAGGTGCATTCCTGGAAGTAATATTACTCTTTGAACATCCTTTTCATGCAAACAAATTCTAAATAAGAAGAAAGTATGATAATTACCGCATCCATGCCCACATGTGTTGTGGCAATTCGATAACCACGCGATTTCAGAGCTTCAAAGCACTCAGGAGTAGAGTCCCAAAGTTCAATGTCCAACCATTTCTCTGCTCCCATACTGACATGGCGATTGTCTCTATACCTGAAACAAGATCAAGCCTTTTCTATTACAAAAAAAATACAGTTAAGAAATGAAACTCATAACAGAACAGTTTCAATTAAACTTACTAATCGAAATAAAACAAATCTCCTTTTTAATTTTATAAAATTTTGAAGTAAAACCAGACCCTTTTCACCTCAAATGCCGTTGCACCTTTTGGAGCTGTCGCACGAAAGCACATGAACCGACTGAAACCCGAGCGCATCGGCGGACCGGAATGCGGCCGAGACGTTGCCGAAATCGCCCAACCCTTCGACCACCAAACACACCGAGTAGCTCCGGTTCTTCACCACCCTCCTGAACCTCTCCTTCCTCACATCCAATATGTACGGATCCAAAGCTTCCAGAACCTCAGCGCTGTTGAGATAAGCATCTTCCCCGCAGCTGAACTTATCGAGGTATGGGAACCACCGACCGCAGCGCTGGTGTGCGGACTCAGGGCTGCGCTCCATTTTCATCAGGCGTCCGACGTCGTTTTTCTGCTTGAGCAGTTGCTCCACGGTGTCTTGCGTCGGACTCTCCGGCGGTTCTAGGGTTGAGTCTGTGGATTGGGCTTCGTCTGTGAAATCTGCCGCTTCTGTTGAAATTGATGCGTACGGCCGTGAAGGAACATTGTACGAAGCAAGTCTGAGCCCTGTAATCAAATTGAAATCACAAAATTGAATTAGACATTTGTGTATGAGTGTAGTGAGAGAAACACAGAGAGAGAGAGAGAGAGAGAGAGAGAGAGTACCTTGATTGGGTGAAAGGAGAGGAGAGAAGCGGAGGGAGGGTGAGTGGAGCAGAGGGATGGGTGGTCCACTGGCTCGGAGACTGGAACTGATCGAAGAGAGAGATGTACGGACTAGGGTTTTGCAGGCACTCATTTTGCAGTGATTTTGGCGCCAAGCCGTGGATGCTGCAACTTCAGCTGCTCACTAATCACTATAGCTGTCCAGACCAGAGGACCAAAGGGGATTTTCATTTGGGATAGCGTTCACATCTTACGACGTCGTTCCATACTTAGTATCAGAAAAAAGGAACGATGATTTGGGCCCATTGGGCTATTTTAAAGAAAGGTACTAATACTATAAAACCTAATAACGTTCAGTGGTCCTCCAAACATTGAAGAAAAGTTTAAATTTAACTATTGGGACAAATGATATTTCTCATTAATCAGCAACTGAGAGCTCATCAAGCATAAACTAATCCAAACCAGTTGTAATTATTGCAGATTAACGTCGACTAATCATCCAGATGAAGCAAAGGTTTCTAAACCATTGGATTAGATTCTGGTGAGATGCCGTTCTTCAGAGGCAACCAACCCATAATATTTTAAAGTCCTTGGCAAGTCTTTCTTTATGCTAATTTTTAAATGCCAATTGCTTCTTTCTCCGATCACTTGCTTCAGAAAGTTTGGTGAAAATTGTGATCAAGTGTTCAACTAACCCATTTGTCAGACTGGTTGCTATAAAAATAAAAAAATTGAAACATCAGCATCATTTAAAGAACCCAAAGGCCTCTATTTGGTGAATTGAAGAGGAGCAGCATTTGCTGGTGCATTGACATCTTTACACTTTTCATCGCCATGTCAAAAACCACAGCTTCTCCTCCTCACATAGCTCTGTTGCCAAGTGCTGGGATGGGTCATTTGACCCCCTTCCTCCGCCTTGCTTCCATGCTCTCCTCCAGAAGTTGTACCGTCACCTTGATCACTGCCTCCCCTTCTGTTTCTGCTGCAGAGTCTTCTCACGTTTCTTTCTTTTTATCTCAGCATCCACAGGTCAAGCACATTGAGTTCCAAGTCATTCCCTCCAACCCCTACTCCAATCCCACCACTGACGACCCTTTCTTCCTCCAGTTTGAAGCCACCAACCGTGCTGTCCATCTTCTTTATCCTTCACTTGCTTCTGCATCTCCACCTCTCTCAGCCATCTTTTCTGACTTTGCAGTGGCTTCCAGTTTTGCTCCTGTTGCTGCTGATCTTGGTGTCCCCAATTACATCATCTCCACCACCTCTTGTAAGTTTTTCTGTGTCATGGCCTACCTTCCAGTCCTTCTATCTGACCCTTCGAGTTTTAGCAGCGGCCTCAGTGAAGTCAACATCCCAGGCATCACCCCATTGCCCCTACCGAGCATTCCTCCTCCATTTAAGAACCCAAATCATCTTTTCACATCACTAATTGCTACAAGTGCTCAAGCTCTCTCTAAGGCCAAAGGGATTCTAATGAACACTTTCGATGATTTTGAACCGGAAACTCTAGCTGCTATCAACAGCGGCAGAGTTTTAGACAATCTCCCACCAATCCTCCCCATTGGACCATTAGAAACTTTTGAGCCCAAGAAAGAGCAGGACCAGTCCTATCTGCCATGGCTAGACAGCCAACCAGCAGAGTCTGTAGTTTATGTGAGCTTTGGAAGCAGAACAGCCATGTCCAGTGCTCAGATAAGAGAGCTGTCGAAAGGGTTGGAGAGAAGTGGATATAGATTCTTGTGGGTACTTAAAACAAGCAAAGTTGATAAAGATGATAAAGAAGAGTTGAAAGATCTTCTGGAGGAGTCATTTTTGGACAGAACAAAGAACAAGGGAAGAGTAGTGAAGGGGTGGGTAAGCCAGCAAGACATTCTTGAACACCCTGCCATTGGCGGATTTCTCAATCACTGCGGGTGGAATTCAGTCATGGAAGCAGCCCGGAAGGGCGTACTGATGCTGGCATGGCCGCAACACGGGGATCAAAGTGTGAATGCAGAGGTTCTGGAAAAGGCAGGGCTGGGAATATGGGAGAGGAAATGGGGTTGGGGTCGTGAAGGGTTGGTGAGTGGTGAGGAGATAGGGAAAAAGATTGTGGAGCTAATGGAAGATGAGAAGCTGAGGGGTTTGGCCAGGAAGGTAGGGGAAAATGCTAGGAAGGCTACTGGTATTGGTGGGAAATCTGAGAAGGTGCTCACTGAAGTCCTGGAATATCTTGAGCAGAAGAACTGATGAGAAGTCCTTGGATTTGTGTATTTAATTTTAAGTACCATGTCATTTTCCAATCTCAAGTTGGCAATATCTCAGATTGGATGAGTAGTTTTTAGCCTCAGAGCCCTCAAGCTTCTGAAGCAGTAGCTAAAAGTATTAGAGAGGTTAGAGAGGTTAGAAAACGTGAACAAGGCTCTAACTAAAGCTGATATAAAAGTCTGTAATTGTGCTTAGCCTGTGGTTAATGAGAATACAATAATTCGTCTCTATTTTTCTGAAATTCTCTCTGCTTCTCTTCGTTTCTCTCTGCATTTTCTGTTTAGTCTTGCTGTCTTAACAAAAAGAATTCGCAAAAACTTAAAAGATGTTCAGTATCCTTTGCTTGGTTAATTTCTTCCCGCTCTACTGATCTTGAGTACGGGACTATATTTATTAAAAACAAAAAACAAAACAAGGTTAGACTCGTAGAAAGTTTGACAATGATATATAACTAATGTGCACAAATCCTATTGCAATTGATAAGCAATTTTCACCTTGGTGCATAAAGTGCCTCTTTGCCACTAAACCGATTGCTTGGGGAGCCGATTGCTTGGGGAGCTTAATGCTATTATTATCACCTTGGTGCCTCAAGTGCCTTTGCCAAGCTCTATGGGTGATTACCGGCCAATCTCTTGCTGCAACACTATGTATAAAATAATCTCTAAGTTACTGGCAAGCCGTATAAAATCGGTTCTCCCTGCCATTGTTGGCCTATCCCAGTCGACTTTTGTGGCTGGGCGTCGCATTGGTGGTAATATTCTTCTTGTGCAGGAATTATTCAAGAACTACCACCGTGCTCATGGGCCCCCTCGGTGTGCTAATAAGGTTGATATCCTCAAGGCGTATGACTCTTTGGATTGGAATTTTCTTTTACATGCTCTTGAGGCTTTTAACTTTCCGGAGCAATTTATTGGGTGGCTTATGAGTTGTGTTACTAGTCCTAAGTTCTCTTTGGCTGTCAATGGTGAGCTTGCTAGATTTTTTGCTAGTAGAGAGGGCTTAGGCCTAGTTTGGGATTGCTGCCGTTTTAAATAAAAAAAAGATGCTTCTCTTGTGCTTTAAAAAGAATCAGCTATAAAGTAAAGTAGTTAAACATTTGGTAAACTGTAATTTTAAAAACTGCTTCCCACAAGATTTTTTAGTAACTTGAATTGTTTCATCTGGTACGTATACAGGATCATCAAAATCATCACCACTGTCGAGTAGAATACCATCACATTCGGATGAATCATGAGTTGGAAGTACACCAGATGAAGGTGCCCAAGCATGGTCACCAATGGCGGTAGTGTTCATGAACATTCTATCAAACTTCTCTTTCATATCAGGACTAATACCCTTTCTACGTAATTTTGCATATTTTGGATTTATCTACAAATCAAAGAGAACAACATTAAAAACTATTACTAATGTTTCATTGTTATAATAAACAAACAACATTAAAAAATATTAATAACATACCTTAATCTTGTTATGCCACCATTCTTTAGAAGCATCAATAGTCCCAAGTTTGGAATTCCACCCAAGACCAGTTTCTTTTTCAATTAGTTCTTTCCATATTTTCCATTGTTCCTTAAGTGCATCCCACTTATTTTCAATTGTGATTTATCATACTCGACTCATGTCTCTTTACTCAACTAATCCTCACATTTTCCCATCCTTCTTTCTTAAAGTGAGTACCAGGATGATTACCTGCCTCCACCTCCTTGATACACAGGTCAAAAAATATTGTTGTATTATGATTATTCCATACAGCTGGAACTCGTGATCCACTAGCCACATTATTATTCTTCACTATATGTGCATGTCCTTATATAAATATGTATGTATTGGGAGACGAACATGTTATAGCAAATAATGTTTTCACTAAAAACATGCATAGTGCCTAAGTAATTACCTATAGGAAAACTTGGGCAAAACTACATACATCAAAAGCAATACACCAAGTCGTACAAGATGATGACAAGGATTCAAACACACTCCCATATATTTTTCCCTTATTTTTTGGGTATGCAGTTTTGATATTTATTCACAAAAGATTAATGGAAGTCAAAGAAATAAAAGTTTGCAGAAAAACTAGTTTATCATAAAGGGAATTAAAAGAAAAATGGAGCTTGTCGTTGGGTGATGATATGAAGTTAATTGCACCAAAAAGGATCACAACCACAATGAGGAGATATGCATTGTGGACTCCACCTAGAATAAAACCACCAGCTATGAGCCCCATCACGATAAACTCTCAAGAAAATAAAAATAGTAGCTCAGATGGGTCTTCAATGGTGGCTAATAAAATTACTAGCTATGGGTCTTCAATGGTGTCCACACGAAAACTTCCTGGCATGGACACCTTCATGCTTGAAGAAACCATGGACAACCAGTAGAAAAAATCTGGACGTATATAAAACCATGGACATATATAAAACCAATAGAAACCATGGACAACCAGTAGAAAAAATCTAGACTATATAAAACCAGTAAAAACCATGAAGAACCAGTAGGTAAAAAAAAAAAAACAAGAGCAGCACGTATATAAAAAGTTTGAGAGATTGAAGAGATGGAAGAATCTACCTTGTGAAAGAGATTAGAGATTGCGTGAATGGTTGTCTCCAAACTTGGGAGGCTACGTGAAGAAACTTGGGAGGCTACGTGAAGATGAACTTTGGTGTCTGCAGATTTGAGAGAATGTGAGGATAAATTTCTAACCTAATAAGGGTATTTGTGGAATTGCGAAAATGTCGTTAAAGGGAGCACGCTGTTTCAATTGAAAGCAGCTTTAAAAAACAACCCCGAGGTTGCTTTTAAAAGCTGCTGTCAAAAGACCATTGCTTTTAAAATAAGCATGCTATTTTATTTTTATCAAACACCTTAAACTGCTTAACTTTAAAGTTTAGCAGATTTTTGGCCAAAAAAAGCAATCCCAAACGGGGCCTAGGCAAGGAGACCCCATTTCCCCTACCTCTTTGTTATTGCAATGGAAATTTTTTTCCTTAATTACAAAGAAAACTCTTTATGTGTTCATCCATGAACTTATCGTAAGGACTCTATTTGGTGGCTGCCTAACCCCTCGGGACGTTTCTCTTCTTCCTCTGCTTGGGATATTATTTGGACCCCTCGTCCAAATGTTCCTTGGGCTTTGCTAGTTTGGCATAATGCCCTTATCCCATGAGCTAGTTTTGTGTTATGGTTGGCTATCCGGAGAAAGTTGTTGACTCTGGATCAGGTCAGTGAGTTTGCTCCTCAAACCAACCAGATGTGTGTTCTTTATTAGGAGTGGGCATGGTCTGATTCGGGCTGGTTTTTGTTCAAATTGGAATCGAAACTGGTACTATTTACCCGGTTTGGTTCGATCCATTTTTAACAAAAAAAAATTATAAAACTATCCGGTTCGAGTTGAACCAGTTATGGTCCGATTTGGTTTTGAACCGGATTATTATTATTATTATTTCAAATTATTTTTTTATACAAATTTCAATTGAAATTTTACTTTTTTGGCTTGAAAATAAACAAATTATCCAATTTGATACAAAAAGAAATATTGAGGCTAGAAAAAAGAGATGTTTTGAAATTGAGCTTGGGTAAATATTAGTTATGAGATTAAAAATATAGCATTGGATATAAATAAATATTAAAATTATATAATTTTTTTAATTTGGACGGTCATGTTCAGCCCAATTCGGTTTTTTGGGGTATAGAACCAATTCGGTTAGGTTTTTTGAGTTGAGTTTGACTTTTTGATCAACACGATTTTTTTCAGTTATTTTTGATCCAGTTTGATTCGGTTGATTGGTTCTTTGGGTCTGAGGCCCATCCTTATTCTCTATGGGATGGATGTGGAATCTCATGACCACTTATTTTTTGAATGCCAATTTTGTGAAGGGATTTGGAGGCTTGTTCTTCGTCACTGTGGGGTTCCGTGGTTAAACCCTCCACGGGCAGACCTAGTAAGGCACAATGAGGTGCAGCTGCACCTCCCTTCTCCGGAAAAACCATTATAGGTGCTTCAAATTGCCCTTTTGCTCGACTGGTATACATATTACCTTATTTCCATTTTCAACACTTAAGTAAATGTATTTGTCCTTTTACTTTTATTTATTTTTATATTACTCCATTTACTTAAGTTTACAATGTAAATAAGGAAGTACCCCCCATTTGAGTTCAAATAAAAAATACTAAAAAATCAAATTCCCACCAAATCAAAATATGAAAATTCAGTTTTAGTACAAAATACGATTTAGGCTAAAAATAATGGCTCATTAAGTCAATATATACTTCATACTAAAATCCCATAAAGTCAAGTTTTTTTATTTGATGTGTAAGGAATAAAAGCCGCCAAAAATTATCTTGAGAAAATGATTATTCTGAAAAACTATTTTTCATACTTAATCAATATTGTACCTCTGCTAAAAAAGTTCTGGATCCGCCAATGAAACCCTCCTTGGCCATCATTTATTGACTGAGAGCTCATCAAGCATAAACTAATCTAAACCAGTTGTAATTATTGCAGATTAACGTTGACTAATCATAGTAAGCTACAATCCAGATGAAGCAAAGGTTTCTAACATTGGATTAGATTCTGGTGAGATGCTGTTCTTCAGAGGGAACCAACCGAATATTTTAAAGTCTTTAGCAAGTCTTTCTTTATGCTAATTTTTAAATGCTAATTGCTTCTTTCTCCGATCACTTGCTTCAGAATGTTTGGTGAAAATTGTGAACAAGTGTTCAACTAACCCATTTGTCAGACTGGTTGCTATAAAATAAAAAATTAGAACCATCAGCATCATTTAAAGAAGGAAAATGCTTGGCTCCTGATATATCATTAGCAATTCCTCCTCAACGGCTAAGAGCACTTCCATCAGTTAGCCCCTTACCATGGCAAGGGGAGCCCTAGGGCAGCTACTATTCACATAAATAGTGACTGCCCTAACCCCCCCAACAAAGTGTATTTTCAATAGTTTAGGCTTGCCATGGCAAATACTATTCATTTTTTTGTTTTTTTCACAACTTTGTTTATTTAAACAATTAATTTGGATAATATTTTCGGATAAGATTTTTGGGTTCCTACGTGTCAATACTATTCATATTGGATAAGATTTTCGGTTTCAAATTTCAGATAAATTTTAGATAAATTTCAAATTTCAGATACATTTCAAATTTTTTTGGTATTTATAGGAAAAAACATCAGTATTTTTTTGGGTATTTTTTCAAATTTTTTCTGATTTTTTTTTTCAAATTTTTTCATTATTTTTTGGCCAGATTGAACAGCTGCCGTTGGATTGCTGGAAGAACTTCATCGGAGCGCCCAGAGCATCGCCACGCGGAAGAGAGCCGTTGGGTGCGACTTCCGAATTTTTTTTTTCATTTTTTTATTCGCGAAAAATGAGAAGCGTTGGATTTGTCTAAAGTTGATCGGACAGCTTCAGTGCGCGCCACGTGGCATAGACCCGTTGGCGGGTCACTGTAGCGGGCGCGTCAATTTTTTTTTAAGGTTGGCGCGTGCGTTGCACGCGCTAATGTTAAAAAAATTTAAACCGCTGCGCTGACGTCAGCCCCAAACGAGTTTAGTTGCTCGGGCTGGACAACACTTGTCTTTTTTCTCTCAACCCCTTTAACTCAAGTGTTTTGCTGGTTTTTTAACTTGGGTAAGTTAAGGAGAGAGAGACGAAGGCGGGGGAGGTTGACTTGCAGGTTTTTTTTTCTTTAAAAAAAAAAAAAGATTTTTCATGGTTGTTGAAGAAAGGAGGAGGAGAGGGAGAGGGAGAAGGAGGAGAAAACTTACATGCTAAATAGAGGTGAAACCAAAAAAATTTGCCGGTGCCGTTCTAGCCACACCAAGTCAGGCAAAAATGGAAAAAAAATATGGCCAGAGACACCATACTAAGCCAGCCAAAATGGAAATAAAATGAAGATCTATCTTCAGTTGATATGAGGATCGTGGAAAAAAAAAATTGGAAAAAAGGTTGTCTTTATCTCATCAAATTTCCTAAATTATAAGGAGAGAGGAAGAAAGAAGAAGGGAAAAACAAAAGAAATGGTTGAAGGAAGAAAGAGGAAAAAGAACGTTTTAATATTTTACTATTTTAACCTATATATTATATCTATTTCTGAAAATAATATTACATATAGTAGCCTACCCAAGCCAAAGGCACCGCCCCTGCCTTCGTCTTTTCCCCCTTGGAACTAACCCAAGTCAAAGAAAACCAACACAAAAACACTTGAGTTAAAGGAGTTGAAAGAATAAAAGAGAAAATATAAAATAAAAAAACACGTGTTGTTTTGTAGAGAAGCCACGTTAGCCGTGAGGAGGAATGGCTCCTGACATATCAGGAGCCAAGCATTGTCCTTCAAAGAACCCAGAGGCCTCTATTTGGTGAATTTAAGAGGAGCGGCATTTGCTAGTGCGTTGACATCTTTACACATTTCATCGCCATGTCAAAAACCACAGCTTCTCCTCCTCACATAGCTCTGTTGCCAAGTGCTGGGATGGGTCATTTGACCCCCCTCCTCCGCCTTGCTTCCATGCTCTCCTCCAGAAGTTGTACCGTCACCTTGATCACTGCCTCCCCTTCTGTTTCTGCTGCAGAGTCTTCTCACATTTCTTTCTTTTTATCTCAGCATCCTCTGGTCAAGCACATTGAGTTTCAAGTCATTCCCTCCAAGCCCTACTCCAATCCCACCACTGACGACCCTTTCTTCCTCCAGTTTGAAGCCACCAACCGCTCTGTCCGTCTTCTTTACCCTTCCCTTGCTTCTGCGTCTCCACCAATCTCAGCCATCTTTTCTGACTTTGCAGTGGCTTCCAGTATTGCTCCGGTTGCTGCTGATCTTGGTATCCCCAATTACATCATCTCCACCACTTCTTGTAAGTTTTTCTGTCTCATGGCCTACCTTCCAGTCCTTCTATCCGACCCTTTGAGTTTTAGCAGCGGCCTCAGTGAAGTCAACATCCCAGGCATCACCCCATTGCCCCTACCAAGCATTCCTCCTCCATTCAAGAACCCAAGTCATCTTTTGACATCACTAATTGCTACAGATGCTCAAGCTCTCTCTAAGGCCAAAGGGATTCTAATGAACACTTTCGATGATTTTGAACCGGAAACTCTAGCTGCAATCAAAAGTGGCAGAGTTTTAGACAATCTCCCACCAATCCTCCCCATTGGACCATTAGAAACTTTTGAGCCCAAGAAAGAGCAGGACCAATCCTATCTGCCATGGCTAGACAGCCAACCAGCAGAGTCTGTAGTTTATGTGAGCTTTGGAAGCAGAACAGCCCTGTCCAGTGCTCAGATAAGAGAGCTGTCGAAAGGGTTGGAGAGAAGTGGATATAGATTTTTGTGGGTACTTAAAACAAGCAAAGTTGATAAAGATGATAAAGAAGAGTTGAAAGATCTTCTGGAGGAGTCATTTTTGGACAGAACAAAGAACAAGGGAAGAGTAGTGAAGGGGTGGGTGAGCCAGCAAGACATTCTTGAACACCCTGCCATTGGCGGATTTCTCAATCACTGCGGGTGGAATTCAGTCATGGAAGCAGCCTGGAAGGGCATACCGATGCTGGCATGGCCGCAACACATGGATCAAAGTGTGAATGCAGAGGTTGTGGAGAAGGCAGGGCTGGGAATATGGGAGAGGAAATGGGGTTGGGGTCTTGAAGGGTTGGTGAGTGGTGAGGAGATAGGGAAAAAGATTGTGGAGCTAATGGAAGATGAGAAGCTGAGGGGTTTGGCCAGGAAGGTAGGGGAAAATGCTGGGAAGGCTACTGGTATTGGTGGGAAATCTGAGAAGGTGCTCACTGAAGTACTGGAATATCTTGAGAAGAGAAGAACTGATGAGAAGTCCTTGGATTTGTGTATTTAATTTTAAGTATCATGTCAATTTCCAATCTCAAATTGGCAATATCTCAGATTTGGATGAGTAATTTTTAGCCTCAGAGCCCTCAAGCCTCTGAAGCAGCATCTCAATTTGTAGCTAAAAGAATTCTCAAAAACTTAAAGGATTTTCAGTATCCTTTGCTTGGTTAATTTCTTCCCGCTCTACTGCCCTTGGTTAATTCGCAAAGACTCATAGAAAGTTTGACAATAATAACTAACGCGCACAAATCCTGTTGCAATTGAATTGATAAGCAATTTTCACCTTTGCCACTAACAGATTGCTGGGGAGCTTAATACTACTGTTATCACCTTGGTGCCTACAGTGCCTTCGCCAAGCTCTATGGGTGATTACCGGCCAATCTCTTGCTGCAACACCATTTATAAAATAATCTCTAAGTTACTGGCAAGCCGTATGAAATCGGTTCTCCCTGCCATTATTGGCCTATCCCAGTCGGCTTTTGTGGCTGGGCGTCGCATTGGTGGTAATATTCTTCTTGTGCAGGAATTATTCAAGAACTACCACCGTGCTCCTGGGCCCCCTCGGTGTGCTAATCAGGTTGATATCCTCAAGGCGTATGACTCTTTGGATTGGAATTTTCTTTTACATGCTCTTGAGGCTTTTAACTTTCCGGAGCAATTTATTGGGTAGCTTATGAGTTGTGTTACTAATCCTAAGTTCTCTGTGGCTGTCAATGGTGAGCTTGCTAGATTTTTTGCTAGTAGAGAGGGCTTAGGCAAGGAGACCGCATTTCCCCCTACCTCTTTGTTATTGTAATGGAAATTTTTTCCTTAATTACAAAGAACACATAAGGACTCTATTTGGTGGCTGCGTAACCCCTCGTGGTCGTTTGTATCTTTTTGTTCATATATTATTCACTTACCCCAAAAAAAAATTGATAAGCAATTTTGATTTGGACATGTCAACGCTCTGTTAGTTGGAAAAGTTCAAACTTTCTTGGCCTTCAAGATAAGTTGTATGTCCCTTTTGCAGCTGGATTTGGCCTATTTGACTATGCTGGTCAGTGGTCACAGACGTGAGCCATTTGACCACATACACACATTCAGTGCACCTGCTGGTCATGGAAGCATATTTTCGTTGTCGTAATGTCCACACTCATACGCATGCCTCCTTACCTTATCAATATAAGTACGCCCTCCACTGCTTCCATTGTAGCTACTCTAACACTCATCAAAGTACTCTCACCAAACCATTCTTTTCCATTAAAATGTCGGATTCCGTTGATCTACAAGTCACTCATGTAGCTCTCCTTCCAAGTGCCGGCATGGGCCATCTCACGCCCTTCCTTCGACTTGCTGCTTTACTCACGGCGCACAATGTCCATGTCACCTTCATCACTCCTAGTCCAACTGTCTCACTTGCAGAATCACAGAGCTTGTCTCACTTATTCACTACCTTTCCACAAATTACTCAAAAGCATCTTCATCTCCTTCCACTTGATCAGCCCTCTGCCAATTCAGAAGACCCTTTTTACTACCATTTCGAACTAATTCGCCGTTCTTCTCACCTACTCCCCTCTCTTCTATCTTCGCTCTGTCCACCTCTCTCTGCTATAATCACAGACATGAGCTTGGCCTCCACAGTTATCCCTTTAACTGATTCTCTTGGACTTCCTAACTACATTTTCTTCACATCATCTGCCAAAATGTTGACATTTTATGTATCCTTCCACACTATGCTTGGTCCAAATCATGAGATAGAAGACCACACAAAAGTTTCAGGTTTAGAACAAATACCAAAAGCATGGATTCCTCCACCACTTCTACAGGGCGGTAATAATCTTCTGAAGACCTTTTTCTTAGAGAATGGTAAGAAGATGACAGAATCAAGTGGAATTTTGGTAAACACATATGAAAGTATAGAGCGTGAGACTCTGGCAGCACTAAATGAGGGCAAAGTATTGAGAAAGCTACCATCAGTGATTGCCATTGGGCCACTTGCACCATGCATCTTTGAGGAAAGTCAACAACTGGCATGGCTTGATGATCAACCAACTGGGTCAGTGCTCTATGTTAGCTTTGGAAGTAGGACTGCCATGTCAAGGGACCAAATCAGAGAGTTGGGTGATGGCTTGGTGAGGAGTGGTTGTAGGTTTCTGTGGGTTGTTAAGGACAAGAAAGTTGACGTGGGAGACGACAAGAAGCTGATTGAGGTGCTTGGACAGGGATTACTGGAAAGGGTTAAGAAAAATGGATTTGCAGTGAAGAACTGGCTCAACCAACAGGAGATATTGAGCCATCCAGCAATTGGTGGGTTTTTAAGCCACTGTGGCTGGAACTCCTTGACTGAGGCTCTCTGGAACGGTGTGCGAATATTAGCATGGCCGCAACATGGGGACCAGAAAATCAATGCAGATTTGGTGGAGAGAATTGGACTGGGAACGTGGGATAAGAGTTGGGGTTGGGGTGAGGGGGAGATGTTAGTGAAAGCACAGGACATTGCAGAGAGGGTTAGAGAGATAATGGGAAACAAGTTGCTGAGATTGCAAACTGACCACATTAGAGAAGAGGCCAGAATGGCTGTTGGAGATGGTGGTAGTTCTACAAAGAGACTTTATGCTCTCATCGAGATATGGAAGAGGGTTCAGGTAGTATGATAGTTAAAACCTTCATTTTCCGAACCCATCTGCGTTGGGAAATTCCTAGATGAAAACAGCACTGAGATCAGATTAGAAACAAAGATGTATTCAGTTGAGACAAATCACATATAGGTCAAACCACAATCTCATAATATTTGAAACCACTGTTAGGTTACATCAAACTATAATAATAGAACAAAAATAACTTCTGCGTTTATTATGTCTTCTTGTTCCATGGGTACTGCCAACTAAAGATTTATTTTCTCAGAGTTATCTAGCAGTTAACCAGAAATAGCTTTCTTTGAAATGACATCAAAAGAAATTCCATTCTGTTGGAGCCTTTCCTGGAGGTCAGTTGGGCCAAATACAATCCCAGGTGGGAAAATTCCTCCCTTTGGAAGGTTGTTACGTTGGTGCAGAAGAATAAGAGCACACTGCAATAGAATTATTGGAGTGGTCAAATAGCCAATCTCAGGACCCATCACTCTTGTTATTATTTCCATATCAGGTTTTCTGTTTCCCTGTGAAACAAGACTGCTGTCGCTGAAACCTTTTCCAACAAACCACATCTTAAATGAAGCATTTCTCACCTCATCCTCAGACGGACCCTTCTTCCTAAACCATCCAACACTGAAGAATGAGGGAAACTTTAAGAGAAGCCATCTCCCAAAGGAAAATCTTCCCAAGAGCCCAATAAAGATTCCAACAGTCATGATACGCAAAATGCCCAACAGAGACTTAGAGCCTATCTTCACCCCAAAATGAACTGGCTTCACTGTTGACCAGAAGGCTTCTCTTTTTTCAATGTGTTCTGCACTCTCATTTCTCCCAGGAAGACCACGAGGGTTTTCAGTCAGAACTCCAAGTGTTCTACGTACCACAATAGCATCTGCTGAAGGTAGCTTCACAGCCCAAAGGCCAATATCTTTCTGTTGTTCTATTGTTGGTCCTTTAGGAGGAGGGGGTCCAGGAATCTGCAACCATTAAAGTAAAAAAAGATTAACCTATTGAGCTGCCATGCCTAGGTAATGTACACATGCATCAACCTAAAAAGGAGCATACATAAATTACTCGAACTTAAGATCTTGCATTGGTTGATGTCTATTAACTGCAAGCATTTGGAGTAACACAACAAACCCAGAAAAGCAAATAAATAAATAACTTTGCATGAACAATGAACCCCTATACATGAACTACAAAATCAATAAGCAGACCATCAATGGTTCCAAAATAGTTGAGTAAAAACTGAAAATGCATCTAGGATCCGTTGTAATTTTTGCTTAATGAGCAGACTAAAAAATTGAAAGCAACATACAATACAAAGCACAACTTCAAATTTATATTGGCTTCTAACTATAACAGGATCCGAATTGAGACAACAGTTGTAGAAAGGTTTAACATTTTTATCCCTGTTCTCTCCCTACATCATTCCAGCAATAGACAAAGCAGCAAATTGTATAAATAAATTTAAAGAAAATCAATTTACCGTAATCAAGATTATTAAAATCATACCACTAAGGCCATATCAAATTTGCATCTCCCAGAAAATTCATAGAATCACAATGCGAACAACAAACTAAAAATCTGAGTTTTATTTGACTTCCTTACCGCAGGCCTTGGTTTTCTGGGTCTGGACCGCCTGAGCTCCTGCAACTTGTCGGCATTAGCCACACCCAACACCGCCGATTCAAACGTCCCGAAATTCCCAAC